CAACAAGGACTTTGCAGGGTGCTGTTGTGCACTGGTGCTGTATAAATAAAATGAAATACTGTCATCCTCCAGTTGAGAGGTTTTCAGGTATAGTTGCTATGTCGTGTTTATAAGGCCTAATCAAAAACGTACATACATGGGTTAGGGTTAGAAACCGAAAGCCTGATTGAAGTTTGGGTACTATCCCCTCCAGAGTAGTCACCTCACTCAGTGATACACTCTGTCGGCACATCAAACACCAACAACAACACGTCCTGCATCTCGTGACAGCAGGCCATGAACTTGAATTTGGTTTGCATCAAATAACCTCCCCCAGATGTCTCAGGACATTACGAAGCAAATAGTATTCATTTATGCAGCACTTTCACAGATAGGAGGCACAAACTACTTTGTACTTTACTGATCTCTTTAGAAAGTTATTAGACCTCTTAAACTAGTTCCTAGACCTGTGCAGTGTGTACTCAGCTCTCTGCAGTTAGTGTTATTACCGCTCTAACTAGCCCCGCTACCTCAGAAGTCCTCATACATCAGAAACGAGTTCCCAGAACCCTGCAATGAGTCTTCACACTCTGCAACTTATCCATCCATTTTCTAAATGATGCGAGGACTGGTATGTATCCAGTTTGCCAGGCTCTGGTCAGATCGCCAGTTCATCACACGGCTCTCCAACTGGTTCACCGACCTCCAAAACTGGTCCTCAGATTTCTGCAACGAGTTCAAGAGGTTTAAAAAAATGTTGCTAAAAGTCCCAAGTTAATGTAAATGTTTCTGACTGACTTTTAAAAGTCTACAGAATACCCAGAAACTGCACTTCACAGGTTTCCGACATTACCTTCGCATCTCACTCGTGCCCAAAGACACTAATCCTTTCCTAGGTGAGGAGAACTTTCACATCATGGACATGGAAGGCCTTTCTTATCTGTGCAGGTTTGTTTGCATGCGAGTGGTCAGAGGCTGGGACTGGTCAACGTGAGGAGAGAAGGGGGATACCGTTTTTGCTTTTTGTAATCTCATCATTACTATCACATCTCACATGTTTTCATTTGAGTCCGTTATGTAACGTTCGCGCAGCGAGTAAAACCCTGAAATCAGCTCTAGTCAAAGATATGAGTGTTTACATCACACTCGCTGACCTCACAACTGAATTAATCAGTTTCCTGAAAGCCGTCCTCGTTGGAGGGTCTTCAAAGGACCAAAGACGCAGAAGGTGCAGTCAGTGCGATAGATGTGACGGCCTGGAAAGTTTCCATTCATAGATACACATGCATACATGTGGAGACACTCACAGCTGGCAGTAGATGTGAAGCCATTGTTTCAGGAAGATGAGGAAACCAGCGTCTTCCTGCTTTTATTCTCACTGTGTTTCTGTGTGTTTCCAGACGACACAGTGAGGTCAGAGAGCAGCTCGACATCAGACTCAACAGGACACGACAATGGTAATGAACACACACGCGCGCACACCCTTGTATCTGTACGAGGACCATCACTTAATGTTTTTCCAACACTCCTGAGCCCGAACGTAAACCCGATTCTGATGTAACCCTGAAACAGAAGGTCTGTGCTCTGGTCCTTGCAAAGATGGATGTACAGGCAAACACACTGTAGAGCTGGTAGTGTAGCTGCAGCGCCCTCAGCTGGCTGACAGGAGGAATAACAGTAAAGGTTTAATGCAGTTCTGGTCTCATCTTGGAGAACTGCACGGCTGCTGGCAGTGAATAGGCGAACAGACTGATTCGGCATAGGGTGTTTTGATTATTTAGCATTTTTTTATTTTGAACAAATGTTTTTTCCCCTTCTTTTTATTCTCTCTCTATATTTTTATCATAGGACGTTTTGTATACTAGACATCAGGCAAACACTAGACAGTTAATCAGTTAATTATTTTTATTTATTACAGGGTGATTAGTTTATGTAAAAATGTAGTTTGTTGTTGTTCTGGTTTACGTGCTGAAAATGGTTTTTATTTGTGTATGTTCAATGTGTTAGACTTGTACATAGTTAACCATATATGATCAAATAATGTTGAATCCTGGATATGGATTTGTAAGCAATGAAATTTGAAATAAGGGGGTAGGAACAAAAAAAGTGTCACCTTCATCCTACTCCTTTTTGAGCACACGCATTCTGTAGACAAAGGTATATACATGAAAACTTGATGATTTTTAAGTTTTGTTTTTTGTTTATTTTGTTTTTTTCTGTTGTTTTTGAATTATATTTGCATGTTCGAAATAAAATTATATCTATCTATTTTATCTATTTCATAATGTGCAGGTTTATCGATCTTTTTAAAGGTCGTGTTTATGAATGTGATGTTTTCCCTGCTACACTGTTCTGAAATTAAATGTCCTTAAATTATAAGACCTGCTTGTCTTACAAACATCGTGATATCTGACATAATCTTCATTGTGTACGGTTACCATGGTTACAGCTGTCTTTAACCCGACTTACAATATCATAAGGAAAATATAAGTGATTGACAGCTTTTATAAGTTGAACTGAGGTATAGATTTCAATTAAAGTTAATATTTCTAGCACAAGTCAAAGGAGCTTGCAAAGAAAAGCGTCTGGACTTCTTTAAGTT